TGAAGTTGACATCGACGAAGTAGAAAGTGGTTGAGAGAATGACGATGTTACCATTTGTGGAATAGAGATGATTGATTGAACGGATGATGTTAGTGGAGATGATGATGTCGTAGCTATTCGACGACGAATAGGTGCAGGAGTTTCAGGTATCGGTTGGAATGGACTATGACCTTCCTTAAGAGCTTTGACGGAATCCACTAAGAATTCTTCACCTCCTTGAAGATGAAGGATATGGTTCTTCACAGCAGGAGAATAGAATAAAGCAACGACACCACCGAAACATTGTTTCCCAAGCGAGGTCATTTGTAAACGTTGATGTTCTTCATCGAGAGTCATTAGGCCGTGATCGGTAACAAATTTCACTTCGGATGGAAAGAGTTCATTTATAGATACATGAAAACACTCTTTAAAAGCGACAAGATCAATTCCACCGTAATAGAAACTAACGGATGCCATTTTCGCAATTGCAGCAGGTCGAGATAAGTGATAAAGATCTTGTACTGGAATGCGATTCAATTCCACACTACGAATGTATTGTTGGAGTTTCTTTGTTACTGCTCCAAGATTATAAGAAAGTGTATGATGACTGAACGATTGAGCACCGAGACCAATTCCAATATAAGGAACTGCCTTTCTTACTCGTTTATCGAGATAATCCGAACATCCAGAGTTATCTTCAGCGCGGGAGAATGTATTTTTTCCAGTCAAACCGATATATCCGGATGCATTCAATAAACGTCGAGCTGCACCTTCTTGACGGTTCACTTGATCAAGTTTCACACGATCAGCGAGGTGAGCCATTAATGTTCCTTTATATCGCATTCGATAGAGAGTGATATGTTCTGGACCGAGATTGATGGTGTCTTGAACGGTCTTTAACCATGGATCATCAGTACGAGAAGCGCGCAATGGAAACCCATACATCAGATCGATATTAAAACTCTTGAAACCAGCATCACGAATATTAGTGACAGCTCGGTATATATAATCCGCTGAAGCATTCGCATCATCTCGATTCATCTCTTTCGCTTGACGAAAATCAGTGGTTTGTAAACCCATTGATATACGACGAATACCCATATCATAGTACGCTTTCATCTTCTCCGGTTCCGCTGCAGCGATCTTTGGAGTAGTTTCAATCGACACTTCAGTTGTATTCCAATTTGTTTGAAATTTCGATTCAACACGTTTCATTAGTTGATGGATGGCTTCTATTTTTGCCATAGATGGAGTCCCGCCTCCGATATCAAATCCAACCAATTTCTTCTCATTGGTATTTAATAACTCCGAATACATGTCAAGCTCAGAGAAAAGTGCCGAGAAATAAGCCGATTGGATATCGTAATCTTTACCGTGTTTGGGATTAACGACCGTGTATTCACAGAATTGACAGCGAGTATGACAGAAGGGTACATGAGCATAGAGCATCATTTCGGGTAACGAGCCATAGGCTCCATAGTAGGTTGCTCGAATGTCGTTTTGATCGCGAACTCT